AGCGCCCCCTGCCCTCCACACCCCCGCGGAGCCAGCGGCTGTCTTGGTGAGTCCAGCGTGTCTTTCTCCAGGTGCATTCTCATCATGACATTGTCAACCTGCTCCTGGACTTTGGGGCTGATGTGAACAAGTGCTCCGATGAGGGCCTTACCCCGCTTAGCATGTGCTTCCTCCTCTACTACCCTAGCAAGGCCTTCAAGCCCAACATTGCAGAGAGGACGGTGCCCCAGGTCAGCCTTGTTCACCGCCACACCCACACCATCCACTGACCTCCCCCCCCCCCAGTGTGGCCCAGGCCTCATACAGGGTGGCTAGGCAGATAGGCCATTGGGGAGTAGACGCATGGAATGCAAGAACTCCCTAAGGAATCTGGAATCCAGTGCCATGACTGTCCCTTAGGACGCATGCATGACAGCTCAGGGCCCGAGCCCACCCTTCCCACACAACTGCCAAGGTCCCCATCCACACAGAGCCCCCGCCCCGCAAAGCAAGACTGAGAATCTGCAATTCTAACTAGTTCCAGAGGAACCCAAAGCACTTAGTCAAGGGGACGGCACTTTATGAACCACGGTTCAAAACTGGGAGCCTACCGAGAGCAGCGCCACTGGATAGAAATGTAATACAAGCTACGGTGGCCACTTAAGACAAGTGAAGCAGGTGGGATCAATTTTAAAAATGTATTGTATTTAGCTTCAAGTACCCAAACCAGGAGGCTCTTTCTGTGTGCTGCCAAAGAACAGGAGTGAGATTTGCTACCCGCCTCTCCTTGAACCCACCCCACGGCTCATGTAGATGAGCCACATTTTGTGGGCCCAGGAACCACAGGGGCATGGCTCCCATGTCTGCTCAGCCCGAGGTCCATGCCAGACTCCAAATGGGCCCCTCTTGGTCTGAGGCATGTGGACTTTGGAGGTGGTAGCTCCAGGCCATGGGTGTAGGGATGTACTTCAGTTTCTTCCTTCCGCTAATGATACTCTCCTGGGTGCCTTCCAAAGGAAATTCCCACGTTCCTAAGTGCCTCAAAATACTCCATCATGAACCTGGAGTCCATTTACGAGGCGAACGACATGGTCTCGAGCAGTGAAGAACGGAAGGCAGCCATCTCGAGCGGCCTGGAGGACCAGTCCCCCAGCAGCATGCTGCGGTGGGACTCCTCCTCGAGGCGCAGCCTCGGTGACCTGGAGCAGGTGGTGGAGGAGTCGGAGGGGAACATCAGCACCATATACAGCACCACCGAGACAAACTTTGAGTCCTCCCTGTGTGTGCGCAACTACACCATCCAGCTGTCCAGGGACATCCTGGAGAAGAGTGCCGAGGCGTACAGCATGCTGCAGGCCCCCGCTTTTCCCGACAAGGGGACCATGAGGAAAATGGCGCAGTCCATGCACGAGTAAGTTGCTGGTGCTGGCCTGGAGGGGTGTGTGCAGGGTGCTCAGCTCTGACCCGCAGTACCACCAAGAGGCCGGGGCACCTGCTCCGACCAGCCTGCGTGGAGCACTGGGTGTGAGTCCACTCTCAGCATGTGAGTGTGCACGTGTGCGCGCGTATGCATGTGGTAAGGCCGTAGGGTGTGAGAGACACCACCTGCCAGTCACAGAGCCGGTTCTCCGTCATTGTCTCCTACCCACCCCAAGAAGAAGGGGTGTTTGCTACCCCCCCCACTGCTCACTTCTCCCAGGTTGCCGAGTTTCCCGCCCAGGTTTGAAGCCCAGCAGGACCCCAGCAGGATCAGATTGTGGCCTGGCTGCTGCAGGGGCAATGTGGCTGGCCTCCCAGGGTGGGGACCAGGCTTGGAGGAGGTGTCTCTGCCTGTTTCCAGCAAAGGCTGCATGTTGAGGCTCAGGGTATTTGGGGAGCGTCTGCAGCTCCTCCCTTCCTAATACTGGTGTTAGAAGCCCTCCGCACCTCCGTTCCCCTGGCCCCTACAGGCACCGGAGCCTGTGGATGACCATCCAGCTGCTGCTGTGCCGTGGTGCTGACCCCAACCTGTGCCAAGTGCCCATGCAGGCCCTCTTCCTTGCTGTGAAGGCTGGGGACGTGGAAGGAGTGAAGCTGCTTCTGGAGAGTGGGGCCAGGACGGACATCCAGTACCCGCCTCAGGTGGGCCCTGGATGGCGCCTCTCCTTCCCACCCGCTGTGCCTGGGAGGGTGGGCGGTGCCCCAGGCCTCTGCTTGGCCTCTTTTGTGGTGGCTGCTGCTCTACCCTTCACCAGTGCTGGAGTTGCGGCTCTTGGCTGGGCATTGGGCTGTTGGGGTAAAGCAAGAGTCACTGTCAGGCTGAAGTCTGCCCTTCCTATTGCCCCGGATCCCACTTCTGTGCTCACCTGTGAGGGGTCAGGGATTGTGGGTGGTCTTGCATGTAGCTGTTCTTCCCTTGCTCCTTTTCCTATGGGGTCTTTCCCTCTCCTCAGGCTGCCTGCATACCCACGTAGGAAGCCATAGGTTGCTTTGCCGCAGGGGTGCCTTCCTGTGTGAGCAGGGTCACACGCGGAGGGGCTGGAAGGAGGCAAGCTGGGGTCAGTGAGTCTGCTGCCTGCTCTGGTCAGGCTGTCTGCCATGGTTCTCCCCTGGAGGGCCTGCACCCATGTCTAAGCTGCTGGGGCTCCTGGACAGCCCTTCAGGGATCTTAGCAATGGTCAGCAGGATGCTGTGGTGATGATGGCAGTCAGGTGCTACACGGCTGTCAGGGTGTTGGTGTCTGAGCCAGGGCCTTAAAGGGACAGGAAGGAGCTTTTGCTAGAGGAAGATGATGAGCGGCTGGATAATGACAGAGCTGCTGGTTCAGGCTGGTGTTCCTGTGCAGGGCACTGGACATGTGGAGCATGTGGTGTCTGAGAGCTTTCAGTCGTTATTCATTAGTGGCACCTGGCTGCTACCTTCCCCATGGGAGGAGGGGCTGGCAGGAGTGGAGAGGGAGGCCCATGGGTAAGCCAGTGAAGTCCCTGCCCTGAGCAACTGCCTGGCTCCCCGCCTGCCTGGCCCCACCCCCCTGCCTGGCTCCCCACCCCCTGCCTGGCCCCACCCACCTGCCTGGATCCACCCACCTGCCTGGATCCACCCACCTGCCTGGCCACACCCACCCGTCTGGCCCCACCCACCTGTCTGGCTCCACCCACCTGCCTGGCTCCACCCACCTGCCTGGATCCACCCACCTGCCTGGATCCACCCACCTGCCTGGCCACACCCACCTGTCTGGCTCCACCCACCTGTCTGGCTCCACCCACCTGCCTGGCTCCCCACCTGCCTGGCTCCACCCACCTGCCTGGCTCCCCACCTGGCTGGCTCCACCCACCTGGCTGGCCCCACCCACCCTCACCTGTGCTTGCTCTGCAGCTGCGGTCCCTGACTCCACTCCACATTGCCGTTTCCCTTCCTGGGGAGGAAGGAGTCAAGATAACCGAGCTGCTGCTCCACGCCATCACCAATGTGGATGCCAAGGCAACTGACCAGGATGAGGTGTACAAGGCCAGCAAGGTGTGCTGCTGGGGCATCTGGTTGGGTCGGGGAGGAAACCAAAGGATGGGAGGG